AACCTCAATGACATCATTGTACATGTGGCCATGTATGTGTGTCTTTGTGGATGTTCATGATATAATAAAACAAAATAAAACAGAGCTACGAGTGGTTAAAAAAGGATGTTTTTAAGTGACATGATGCACAACAATTTACAAAGACAGTGTTAGGTTAGAATAGTGTCTTAAATAAGACACTTTTGATGGAGCAGATCAATGTACCTCTGATCTAAAGGAGTAAAAGCCCTCATCACAGGAACCAGTAATACACTCCCACATATGTCAGTACCTGTCCTCTGTAACAGGAATTCATAAATAACAGGCCCAAGAAATCAACCCTACAGTTATATTATGGCTGTTCTGACTTATGTTACAGAAAAACACCTCATAGTGAAACTGGAAATATTCATTTGAATAAAAATTAATCTGATGTTATGTAAAAAACAGCAGATAAGTGTAATGGATTAGAGAAAATGAATACAGAAAAATGACAAAGGGCTTTAAATTTAGCTTGAAACTGTTGACAGTGGGAGTTTCTTTTGTCTCATTTCACTGAATGACTGAAATGACCTTGTCTGGCTAGTGTCACATTTTGCTTATAAAGTATAATTAACATCTGCTCTTTTGTCTCAGACATTATAGACAAGTAAGGTGAAACTCGGGGGCTCCGTGGGGAATGCTCATTTACTGCATTCATGAAACAATAGCAACGCCAACATCTCCCTCCACCCCAACAACCCAGTTTCATGACACAAACCACATCAGCAAATCCTCAGTAATTGTTCAACTGCCTGTGATTTTTTTGTTTGTATGTGGAGTGAAAACCAACCGATGCAGCACAACTTGTTGACGGAACAACAGGTGTTTAGTGACAGTGTAAACAAAGCCACCTCATCTTGAATGTCTGGTTTCCTACTGCTGCAGAGGAGCCGATTCACTAAACACTCTCCGGGCACCAAAATATCTAAACCTCATTACTTTATAAAGTTCAGGTGACAAAGAGGAGCAAACACTGATGAGATCATGTTTTGTCAATGTGAGAAATCACCAAAGCACACTTACTAGAAAACTCACTGAGGGTACCTCATCTTGTAACACAGCTGTTTCCCTGGGGATCACAGATCTGGACGCTGCATGCAGGGCACTCAGAGGGAGGGGTCGGGGCTGGTGCGGTCACAGAATCAGAGTTCAAATGCAGATGCCATGTACCAGTACTCAAAGGTTTGGACACACTTTTCCATTCAATTCAGGGGGAATGTGTGTCCAATTCTTGAACCAGTAGAGATTTAATTTCATGAACACTTTGCAAAGCATTCACAGGGACGCCCAGCTACTTAACATTTTCATATTGTCATCTGTAATGATAAAGTGTTAAGAGGATGAAATCAGGAGTCAGCTGCCTGAGTGAACCTGGTAGCGTCAGTGGTTGAGTCAAAAAGAGGAGTCAGTGAATATGGACAGGTGGTTCAACGGAAAATGAGGCAAACCTCTGACAAGCCTCAGAGGCAGATGGACCATCTGGTAGAGGGATTGTGGGTTGTACTGAATGTTAACATATAATTTTCTGTCTGTGGGATGATACTCATTAAACCACTAAATGAAATAGCCTAATGTTCCTATATTATCTTAATATCAGTGTTGGAGTTTTTCTCAGAAAATAAGCAGGAACAAGTCAAAGCACACCAGTAGACACTGGTGAGCACTGAAAAGCTCACAGATGAACATATTAGGCTATGTTTCGTTTTGAAAAATAAATACAAAAACAGAAATGTAGAATTGGAAGTGCAAAAACAACAAGTTAGCAGTATTTGCCCTTGGGGATTAATAAAGTATCCAGCTCTATCTAGGCTATCTATTTAAACTAAGATAAGCTAATTGTTTCCTGAGTCCAGGCTAGTTTTGATCTTCTCTGCAAAAACAGTGAACAACACCAGGATGAAGCTAGTCTGGCGTTGTCTGAAGGAAACAAAATCCATCTACCCACACATAAAGTGTCTTGATTAACACATAACCTGGTTCTTTAAACCATTCAGAAAGTGAAGTGTAGGCAGTTATCCCTGTTATGACTGTTTCTTGGTCGGACACAATGACTTCCTGAAGCTCCGTTGGTTGTCAGCCATCCTCACCGAGATGACAAGGCTCAGGGTCTTGTGTTAAGCCAGGCTGACCGATCACTGGCTGTATCTTAAACTTAAAATGTGGCATTCTTTATGAATTATTTACACTAAGACAAGTCTTCCAAATGTTACATTCAGGTGCTTTCTGTTTGTATGTTTACGGGGTGTAAGGAGCAGAAGTCTGTCAGAACTGTTGAATTGACCTTTTTGACCTTACTCAAAACATTTTGGTGCAACTCTTATCATCTTCTCAGATTCAAATGTTTTTTTTTTAACTCCTGCAATATAATGAGTGCAATGTCAGCAACAGTGTGAGAAAATGCCAAGAAATAGGGCTGCTGTGAATATGCTGTGCAGGAGAGAATGATGATACCATGATATAAGGAAAGTACTGAAGCAAAAGGAGCCACTGGCTTCATTGGAGGAGACAGTCTGAGCTCACTGCAGCTCAGACAGCAGTTCTGTGAGCAATTACGCCCCCTAGGAGACAGTACTGTTGTTCCTCTCTTCTCTTTACCTGCTGAAAATAAGTTCAGACGCTACATACAGTCCCCTAAACAAAATCATTCACTCACCTATGACTTTACAGGAACGAGTTCCATGACTATTTGTGTGTTCTGACTGAATCTGGCTTTAGGTTTGATGATCAGGGAGTTTACACAACAGGAAACAATATTCATCTCTTACATTTTTCATGCAACACTAGATGGTGCCCTCCACCCATCTTGTCCACACAAGCTCTGCTATGCTGACACACAACAGGTAGACAAAATAATAGGAGCGCCTTACCATATTTATCAACAGTGCTTTGGTAAAGCTTAGAAAGTTGTTTTTGTTGACACTGTATCAGAGCTGCTTTTGTATTATTTTGTATTTTGATGTGTTATGATCCCCAACCACTGACAAACTGACATCACAGGGACATTTTCTGTATGAACATGTAAAACTGAATGATTAAATGTCTTTCAACACATAAATAGTATTTATCATCGTATTCTGGAACAACATTTCTTTTTCTGGAGAATTTATAACAACTAAAGTGCATGTGATTGACTTTAGCTTGATGTTTTAACTCCAAATAAAAGTAATTTCCATATATGGAACAACTTGATTGCAATCTGATGTTACCAACATTTTTCCTTGAACTAAGTTTAGCACATGATTTTGACAGGAAATGCCATGTTTGATTTTATATTATATTTCAAAAGTGAAGATGAAAACATGCATTGATGGTGAAGCAAACAAATTTTTTCATCTTAAAATGGATTTAGCAGATATTTAGGCCAGTGTTTTGACCATTACAAATGCAAATGGCCTCTCAAAATATAATCACAAATATGTACCAGGCATATAAAAATAGATTTAGTCAATCCACCAAAGACAAAGTTCCATAGTGTTACACTGAATGTACCGTATATAGTTAACTTTTACATTCATTTCTTTTTAGCTTTGTGGATATTAAATAAAAACATGAAATGTGTTGCAGCGCATCTGGTTGATGCCAGTGTTCAAATCTGCCATCCTGTCCTCAGAAAGGACGTCACTCCAAAAGCACTGACTCATATGCCAAAGCCATGTGAGCTGTAAGACAATTAGCACTAAGTAGTGGAACACAACAGCATTTAACAGGATATGCTGTAAGATAACAGCCAGTCTAAATGGGGTACACAAAGCTTAGCTTGCTTGCCTGTTGTTTATTTACCTGAACAGAAGAGCAGTTGGTGTAAATGTGAAATAGGTCAAGAAACAGTTCACACAATTAAATCTTTAAACATTTATTTTGATGCATCTGTCAAATCATTTTCTCCTCTCAATGAGGAAAAGTCTGACTCATTTAACGCTTATAAACAATCACCACAATAATTTTGAGACATCAGTATAAACAGGGTGGGCTACGGAGAAGTAGCCCGCCTCTAATACCAGTGTTAGGAGCCAGGTACTTGTACTTAGGGTTCCGGGCTAGTTTCCCCTGGCCCACCCTGTATAATATAGTTTTTGCAAGACTAGTTAATGCTTTTTCCATGGTATAAGCCTATTACTGCATCAGAAAAGTGCTTTGTTGTTTTACAAGACAAAACAATAAGATGGTGCTACTTTTAGGAGGCAAAATGTGTTCCTAGAAAAGGACGAATGGATGTGAAAATAACCTTTTGGCCTGAATGTAGAGTTTAACTGTGGAAAAAACAGAAAGAAAGAGGTTATCAAGAAGTAATTTAACTCTATTAATAATGAGAACATAAATAACAGTTCTTTAGAGCCATCTTCTCAACCATGGTGTCATTTACTGTAATTAAATTACTAAGCTGCTCAGCTGCCACTACTAGAGGAAAAATATCAGCTTACAACAAAGTTATTACAAGTTACTAACTACAAACTACTAGTGATTTTTCAACACTTGTTCTTCCTTTCTGGACTGTGTTTAATAAGTGGAAAGTTAAACATTTCTTAGCAGAAAAAGCTGTACATTGGCAGTGCTTGAGATACACAAGGTGCATGTATCTGCTAACTGGCCACTTGACCTACATTGCTAAAATGTATAAAACATGACTGGCAGTGTATGGATTGCTGTGTCATCCTACTGCACAATGCTCAAGGTTTTGTGTTTCCAAACTTACTCAACATTTAAAATATATGAGGACTAAATATCATATTGTGGGATAAATGAAACTCTCTCATTTACCTTAAATGACATAAAATGTCAAAATGTTTTGATAGGTTGTGGACAATGTAAAGTATGGGAGTTTGGTGCTGTAACACTGAGGATACTGGTGAAAAAAGATGGGAACAATATGGGCCAAGAAGTTTCTGTTTCACCTGACTTGTCTGCAGTAAGCCTAAATTTATAAGGCAATTTCAAAATGTCAAAAATACAAACAACCTGAAAGAAAACGTTACACCAAATCATTAAAAAACAGTCCATATTTATTGCAAAATATTCTTGTACAGAATAAAACTGAAAAAACGTGAACAGAGGAGGAATCAACAGTAAGGCCAACATCATGACGCCGAGAGCTGAACTGTACAAACACCAATAGTAACATTTGCTGCTTAAATAGTGTTTTTATACATAAATGGTTCCCCATGATCGCAGCAACCTCCTTAAGGGGGAGAAAAAACAAACTGAAAAATCTTCACCATTTTACTAAAATGTTATTGCCTTTGACTGTAAATCCATCAACTTGGGACACCACTAGACAATCCTTGAAACGCTGGAATTCCTGTAAGAAACTTGTCACTCAATTGATAACATCTCATAAAATATAAATATATATACTTGTAAAAAGCTCCACATGACATGGGACTGATAATATTTTGGAACTGAGTATAGAGTCACTGTTGTCACTGTTGATTCAGAACATGAGGTGGTTCTGAGCACTACAGCTAAAGTTAGCAGGCTAACACCATTAGCTCAACTGCTAATGCCAGTGCTGTAACTGGGTGTGCGCTGCTGAGTTAATACTTCTGATTTGAAACTAAACAAAATATCTTAAATATGTTTAAAGTTTGCTTCTAGTTTACATCACACTGCTAGAATAATCAAACCCTCACTTGAGCTAGGAGGGTTTTAGCATAGGCTGTCAAGATAAATTCAGGTGTGCATGCCCATGCACATCCTCATGCGATTTGGCACTAATGTCAAAGTTCTTGCTTCACAGTAAACCTGGTGGTAAACACATTGGAGTCTCTCCAGCTCTTCCTCTTACATCTTTTTTTCTTTACATATAAAAAGGCAGAGTGAGACAGGACATATTTTTTCTCTGCACATTCAAATGTACATCCTTAATACCGGCTCTCCCAAAATTTGGGATCTAACAAAGACACACACACACACACACACAAAAAAAACAAACAAAAAAAATCCTGTCTCTGAAAGTACACTGGGGGAAATAAAAATTAAATAAGAATTAAAACTGATAATTATTTTTTCTCATATGCATAAGCCCTTCAAGAAAACACAAGATGATGTGCAATCCAGAACTCCAGAGGAGAATTAGGGTTTCTTATGAAATTACTTGACCAGAAAGGTAGAGCTAGAGACGCAACACAACAATGTCATGTTTCTGCCCTTCTGACACTGTATCTTACAATACATCTGGTGGATAAATAACAAAACACAAGTATCCTTCCTTAAACTGGGAAGCCGGTGCTCAGTGGGGTCTCCACGCCAGTCAGAAGATGACAGACACTAACAAACAGACTAACACAATCTCCAAAATTAAACAGAAATACAGCTGACTGGTGCTTCTGGGATGCTTTAAGGACAATTTTGTGGCATTTGTTGGAGTAAGATGTCAGTTTTGTTGCAGAAACACCTCTGTAAAAATTCATTTTATTAATAAGAAAGAAGATTTCAAGGTTAACTGAGTGTTTCTTCTGCAGTTTTGAGTCACAATCCACAACTTTCTGATCAGTTATTACTGACCTTTTCTTTTAGTGATCTGTAGCTCTGTGGTGGTGGCGCTGTTGGATATCATAAGTGCTTTCAGTAATTTGATACCCTGAGCGGAGGACATAGGCTTGGGGTGAATTTCAGTAGAAACAAATAATTTTTGCAGAGCAAACAACAACTGAAAACAGGACACTACTAAGTACTACCACAGAAATAAAACAACACAGTCAGCTTTACAATATGCATATACTCATGCATATATAGTGTGTATTCCCTCTTGCATACCGGTGAGTGGCTGGGGACTATATAGAGAGCTTTTAGTTATACCAACTCCCTCTGCAGAGACTAACAGTGATTATTTAGAGAGACTGATATAAATGAGAGCCAACATAACTAACAGGACTGGCAGAGTGGTGAGAAGACAGGGACTGATTCTGTGCAGCTTGTAAACAGAAGAGGCCAGACAGCCAGAGAGGATAATGGGTAACAGACATCCACTTAAAGCAGCAAAGATTTAGAGCCTGGATGGGAGTGAGGAGAAAAGGTGAGGGACCTTTTTCTCTGGGCTTACCAATCAGAGTGGCAGCATCACCTCAAGACTTCGCCTTCACCGCTTCCCATTGAGCTTTAGCTCAGAGAACTTCAGCTGTGATGGCAAAATAAAATTAAAGTGATCGACATGTTCCTGTCTGTGCTTCTCGGGAGAGAAACTACTCAACAAACAGTGGACTCTCAGTGATGTAACAGCATCTTATAGTAAAGCAACTGGTGGGCAGAGTGAGCATTTGATCACAGGGGGATGTGGGTGCGACAGGTAGATATAGGTCGCTAGGTCTTCAAAAGTAACAGTTATCCCCTCCCACCCCCACCCTCACTTTTTTCCAACCCTTTCCGACATCCTCTTTGGGTTGTTAAGAGCTGAGAGGTCAGAGAAGCTCAGACAAATAACTGGATCCGCTCACGGATGGCCTGCCGGCAGATCGGACATGTCTTGAGCGCAGCGCTGCAGTCAATGCAGGAGGCATGTCCGCACTGGAAGACCAGCTTGATGTGGTTGTCGATGCAGATGGGGCAGGTAATCCGCTCCTCCATCTGGCGGTAGCGAGACTGCAGCTGCTCCAGCAGGTTGTGCTGCTCTGAATTCTCATTGCCAGGACTGCAGTCCACTTCTGTTTGGTCTGTGATGGGGAGCAGTCATCAACAGAAATGAAGCCCACAAAGAACTGAATTTACAGACTTTGACAAAAGCTACAGGTTACTGTTTTCTGATGTTAATGGAAATGGAAATGGAATTCATGCAACCTTTGCGATCTTGTGCAAGATGACACCATCCTGCTGTTTCACCGTGCTACTGGTTCAAAGATAACAAGGGTGCAAGATGACACCATCCTGCTGTTTCCGTGCTACTGGTTCAAAGATAGCAAGCGTCTATACTATAGATTCATTGGTGGTTTGTTTTCGGCACAGAGGCCTTTACTCTACCGTCCAAAGTTGTCCTACTGGGGCCTGGTCAACAATAGTGATCATGGCTAAAATTCACAGATTTTGAATGTTTTGAAAGTCCCTCTAACTCTAAAAAAAACAAGATGGATGCACTGAAACATTTACTGTACCACTGTACATGTAGATAGATTACAGCATTAAAATGTCCTTTGTCTTACCTTGCCTAATTTTCTTGGTGATTGTGACTTGGCATTTAATGCATTTCTTCATTCGATGGGCGCACTCTGAAAAGCAAAGACCAGGTCAGCACAGACATACACAAGAAATACAAAGGAAATACAATATGACAAAACCTAAATACATCGTCCACAGTATTTAACATAAAGCATAAAAAATGAATTGTAAGATTTTCTTCAAAAATAAAGTACCATAACCTTAAAAGACCACTTACTGTAAGGGCGCAGCTGATTCACCTAGGTTTTTCTTAACTACAATTGCAAATCCTGATTGTTCTCAGTAAATATTTCTGACTTTCTTTCAACTTACACACCTGGTATCTGCCTATTGATACAAGTCCTTTCCTGCCACCGGCTCTACACAGAGCCCTCCACTAACTCTAGTGTCTACACACCTTCACAGGCCACACTGTGCTGGCAGGGGCAGAAGAGAACCAGCAGAGCCAGCTCAGAGCAGATGAGGCATTCACTGGGCCCTGGCAGTGTGGGAAGAACCAGGTTGGTCATGGTATTGGGTGTAGTGTGGACCCGGCGCAGGCTGGCACTGCTCAGGCCCTGTCCACATGTGATGGCCTGTAGACACTGCAACCTGTCAGACAACACACAGCTATTACAACGTACAACACTGTTTGCTATAGCAGTTGGAGGTTGAAAACACGTGTTTAACAAAGTTATCAAAAAGGTTCTATGAATTTCATCCCTGTCTACCTATACTTCTCAGAGAAGCTCTTGATAATTTGCAGCACTGCGCTGTCTGCCACCAGGTCCAGAGGACTCTTGCCCTTGTGGTTGGCATAGTTGGTGTCAGCTCCTTCCTGTGCTAGAAAACACGCGATAGCTGCCCCAACACTCAGCTCAGTACTCCCCAGAAGACCTGAAGCACTCAGCTGTGGATGCACATGGGGATAATGGGAGAGACAGAAAAAGGGAAGAGCCATTTAAATGAACAGTATGCAGACCCTGAATTGTAGAAGAGTGAGAATACAATACAACAAAGAGGTAGCTGGAGTAAAACCAGCGCAATCAAGCTAAGGCTGGTACAACTCAAATCTAAGCAACACTGAAGAACCACCAACTCATCAGCTGACAGTGGCCAAATCAGCCCTGAGGACTTTAGTTCAGGCATCCTCAAAGCTCTGTGTGTATTAGTATTTGTGTGGTGGCTTGGCAGGTGTCCAGGATGTTGAGTGGAGCTGCAGTGTTTGCAGTCATGCGGACCAGAAAGGTCATTTATTCAATGGTACAAAGATATAAATAACAGCTGATGTAACAGTATTTAAAGCAGGTAGCCGAGGTTCGGCAAAAAAGTTCCCATAAACCAAGTGAATGCAACGTGCCCAGCACCAAACAGCAGACAGAGAAAGTTAGCAACTGCTTGGTCAACAAAATAGAGCATTTAGCAGCTAACAAGTCAGACATTTCTCTCATAATAAGGTGGAAACCCAAACTGAGCTAAAAGGCAAACCAATTTTGGATTAGTCATGTCACTTGAATTACAACCCCAAATGAATGTAGGTGATAATTTTACAACTTGTTGCACTGCCCTTTAATGCTAGATAAAGTTACTAAACTACAGTGGACAGTAACATGCAGCCTTTGGTTTAATAAAAAGGGTTTCATGAGCATCATTAATATAAGTGTTGCATTATTCATGCAATAATGAATATTAAAATGGCCTCAGGCCTCTTGCTCCATTTACAGAACAAGCTAAAAAATTGAAAAATGAAAAACATGTAAGAAGTTTAAAGAAGTGTCAACAAAACACTACATCCACTCCAGCTTCCCCACTGGTCCTCACCCTGCAGTAGAGTGATGTGGTGGAACAGCCCTCACTGCTCTCGTCAGTGCTGCTGGTCCCCATGGTAGGGCTGAGCATAACATTGGCCAGCTGTGGGCGGAGAAGGGCCACGTGCATGGCCGTGTCTCCATCCTCGTCCTCCATGTTGACGTCAGCGCCCTCGGCCACCAGCAGCTGCACCAGGTCAACGTGGCCCTGCGTCACTGCCAGCTGCAACGGCGTCTGGTTGCGGTTGTTGCAGATGTTGATGTCGCAGCGACCCTTTGCATAAGGATGTGGGGGAAAACAGTATTTTATAAAACCAGAAAAGCAAAAATGTCATTAAATCTTAAATGTGTAAAGAAAAATAAAATTGGTGATGGCAGACTTTGCTGCAACTGCTGGTATGTATTAATCTAAAACAACTGTTTTAAACGACTCTTAACTTGCTCCCGACCCCAGTTCACCTCCTTGATGAGGATCTCGGCGACATCCCTGTGGTTGTTGAGGGCAGCCAGATGCAGCGCAGAGAAGCCGTCGTCCTTCTTAACATCCACCAGTTGTCGTGCTCGGGCCAGGATCTTCTCTGTGGCCCTGCCACCAGGATAAACAACACAAGATTCAATTAGCTAAAGTGAAAAACACTTCTCATGGTTTATGACCTAAATTAAGAACAGTTATATCTGCAGCATTTTAGCCAGTGCTTTTTACCACTGCAAACACTAAAAAAAAAAAAAAAAAAGAATAAATGTGACTGACCAACATTATATATTTAAGTGTCTATTTTCGTACCAATATCTTGATTTGAGCCTAGTATTAACAGTATGTACTTGATCCAACAGAGCGACAATGCATTAACAATGCCGCCAGTGCAGACAGCATAGCATGAACAAACCCGCTCACAATATGAAGCTAAAGTTATCCTGTGTCACACTGTGCTTGACATGAGCTTGGAAAGAGACGCAGCTGTTGCAGAACTGTTAACAAGAAAACACTGAGCCACAGGAGGCAGCCAGTTCTCACCGAATGCAGCCAAATGACCTCCTGATGTACAAATAATAAAAAAGGAACCACTGCTTTAACAATTCCATAACCAAAGTGTTACAAGTAAATTGTTGCTTTAAGCCTTAATTTATAGTAGATTAATAATATCTGTCGCTTGCCATCATATAATATTCAACTACTGTGCTATACAATAATATGGACACACACTCAACATCTCACAGCTTGATGCCTGACACGAGGGCATCTGTTTTTGTCAGATCACAGCAGGTTATTTTTAATGTGAGGGTTAACAACAGAGAGGAAGTTTAGGTGCGGTGCATTATGAGTCCACAATCAGTGAAGTGAGACCATTAGAACTTTTTTGTGATTCATGCAGTGGGCTGATAATGCAGCGTGAAGCTGGGCAACACTGTCGAGATGTTCTCTGCTTTCTAGCCGAGTCTGCTTTGTAATGTGTGAAATTCAAGCTGGCAGCCTTAGCGAGCGCCCAGGAAGCTGGCATGGCAACACAGAGGCTTTCTATGGACGTTAGGTAAATTTTAACGTTAGCTCTGCTGGACCTCACTGTTAAACTCTGGTGTTGCTCATGTTGACAGGTGATGCAGGTGCCAGTGCTTTGTTTTTAAAAAAAATAAAACTCAACATGAAGCACATGAAGGACAATACACAAGAAACAGATCAACTAAAAGTATTCAGTTTCTTTTACATTTTTGATTGTTTGCATTTATTTGATTTCTTTTACCTAAAACTGGCATCAGTGCAAAGCAGCGCGACTCTGTGCTCCTTGATCAGTCCAGTCCAGTGATCAGTGACACATTTAAATGTATCAGCAGTCTGCTGCTAATGAGCCTGTAAACTGATGTACTTTCCATGTTACCATAATTAGAACTGCATTAATGTATTTAATTTGTGCTATGAATATAGTATTATGGTGTGCCTGGATACAGTGATTTGTGTTCTTACTACTCTCTTGCCTAACCAGTCTATCAGATAGGGGCACAATATGTATTGGGGATGACACGTCATTGGTATGGCTATGTGCCATATTGGATGGGGTGGCCAGGTTAGGGCACAGACTTGGAGAGGGGTGGCACATTTGAAAATTGTAAAAAGTATATTAAACTCCTAGTTCTATGAAATAATAAACCATACATTATTAAGAATCAAACAGTTTGTGTTAAAATGAAACACACATAGTGCTTTCTTTAGCTAACTTTGGCTGCGCTCCTGGTCGGGGATGGCACTGCAAGTAGTGCACTCCACAACAACACAGTTGAAGAAATTAAAGTAAATATTGTGCTGCATGCATGATATAAAATAAAACCAATTAGAACAACATCAATAAAACACCAGATAAATGTTAGTTGTGTTCAAGGCAACAATCTGTTATTCTTTTTCATTAATTAATACTGACAAGCACCACATTTTGACAAGCACCACACTCTGGCAAGGATGGCACCAGGGCTGGCTACCCCCTGGCTCTACCGATGGTGCTACCTTGGGCAATAATACCACCTTTTATTTAAGTTGCAAAACTATTTTAAAATGTATCAAATAATTCTAGTTGTAGAACTCTGCTCTTAAACTTGTCTTAATGTGGAGACTGTGCTGTCAAAGCCTCCAGACACCCAGACTTAGTGAACACCACTGGCAGCAGTTCAGAGATATAAGCTTCTAAAGGGTTTTGAGTAGGACTGATCTCTCTAACCAATCAGGGATTTTCAGTTATTTCTGGTTGATTAGTAAGTTTTGTTGCGTTTTCATTTATTGTAATTTCATAACAACAAATATCTGAAGAGCTGGACAGAATGGCAGGGAGAGGGAGCGCTGGGCGGAGCAGAGTGGGTTGATTTGGAGTGTCATGCTAGTGATACCTGTTGAGGAAATTAAATTACCTATTGTAGCTTTAACTCTTATAAAACCTCCCAAAACAAATGAGTAATATGGTATAGCTTTATCAGCTTTTCATTATGGCTAATCCTGCTTTCTTTACCTAAGATGTTGTTGCATACAGATGGCTGAAGTTTCAAATAATAATAATAACAATGCTAATAATAATATTACATTTACAACATTTACAGGGTCACTGGCAGCAGACTCCTGATATGTTTTAAATTCATTACTGAGGAACACAAGCTACTTTGTTACGTGTAGTCACACATGGCCTGAATCTCCTCTGAGTGTGCAATTAAATAGGAAGGCCGTCACTGGTACCTGCAACTTGGTTCAGTGTTTGGCAGAGGCGCTGATAAAAGAAAATACTATTTCTGCTTTTAAGCTGTCTCCCGAGTACCTTCATTAGCTTAAAGAGCTTGCCCTTGCAGTTGTAAAGCAGCCTCTCTCTTTGGATAACAGCTATGTCAGACCGTGTCTCCTTTGTATTCATTATGCCACACTTCACTGCATTATTTCCATGATTTTTATTCTTGTACGTTCGTGAACATTCAGCCTGACATATGGCCGACAAAACAGCCAGAGGGCATCTCTGACATGCTGGAGATGACTTTTCAGGAGGCTGAAGACTTCATCTGGTTATTTTGGGGAGTTTGCATCATTCATGTTTGTAAATTGCTTCTTGATCAAAGCTTAATAAAAACAGAAGAAATGTACCATGATAAGTACTAATTATTTGACTCTGGAAATAAGAAATGATAAAACAGGAAAGAAAATAAAGCATTTTAATTTCATGTCTAATTAGCTATGAAAATGACCTTGCTGTGAAATATACAGTATCAGTATGTGTTAAGACAGTTTATGCTGTACTACTAAAAGGCACAATGTACCTACAGACATACGGGAGTAAATAGGAAGAGAAGGGTTGTAAGAACACAACAAACAAAAGGAATCTGGTGAAAGTGAGGAGAAAACCAAGCAGCTACTATAGGAGGATGCAAGACCACAGGAAAGAGAGAGAAATCCAGGCAGGCGATTTTTGTTTTCAAGTAAATACAGTAAACAGACTAACCATCCTGCCTCTTGTGTCTAGCTGAAAACTCCTGTAGAAATCTGGCTGCTTGCCTTGTTTCTCTTCTTTCCCAGGACTGTTCATGAACTTTCCCTCTAGCCCTCTTTTTCCATTTCCTCACAGTAAATACTCTAATAGACATAACATTCTCATTATTCTGTCACAAAAAAAAAAAAACAATAGAAGGCCACAGCTGCTCAAAGTAACTCCAAATAGAGTAGCATCAAGAAAAAAGAAATCTACATTTATGGTTAGGATAGCACAACAACCATCAATTTACCTACAATAGAAAAAGTACCAAGCATACAGATCAGATCGTACTTTGATAGTTATTATTTTACTCACCTTGTAATTATAACTCCAGTCAGAAACCACAAGAAAAATAAATAACTATAAATATACTTAAGAAAAGCCCTAAAAATATTATTAAAACTAATTCATTCCACAAGGTTTAAAGTCACTCTCAATCAAATGCCTGGAGACATTCAAACTGTAGCTTCCAATTTGTTTTTAAAGCTATCTAATCTCCTTTCAGCTGCTAAAGGGTCTAATGAAACTTAAAACAAACTGACACCATAACCCACTCCTAATCGCTGTATTCCCTTCCTATCACATTCCGTTTTCTATTGATCTTGTACGAACTTGAACTACGGATGCCTCGTTGTGACAAACTGTACAAAATACAGCCTCCAGTCCAAAGCTAGCGTTGGCTGACTAATGAGTAAATTTGGAAGCACAGTAGAAACGTCTGGTTACTGCTAATGTGACACAAAGCACTGACATAAAACAAAGCTCAAAACTCAAAAAATAAAATCATATTAATTCAGTACAAAGGTAAAATCACCACCATGCTAGGTTGCTAATGTTACCAAAACAAACACATTAGCTTTAGATGCTAACACATCCAGAAGGAAGAACAAATGGTCTTATACTTGTATAGCGCTTTTCTATGCTTTACAGCACACTCAAAGCGCTTTCACACTACTTGGCCATTCACACTCCCAAACACTCACACACCGGTGCTATCACCGGGAGCAACTGGGGGTTCAGTGTCTTGCTCAAGGACACTTCAACATGTTGACTGGACAAGCCGGGAATCGAACTGCTAATCCTCTGGTTAGGAAACGACCCGCTCTACCTCCTGAGCCACAGGCGCCCCCAGTTCAATTACATAATGAAATTCAATTGTGAAAACTAATACTTAATTGTTTAATTGCCTCACAAGTTCTCATATGTCACTGTACTGAATGCATTGCCCGATGGACAGAAGTCACACACAACATTACATGCAGAAACAAAGGCAGAATTCACAACAACGGTATGGGCTTTTCCCTCTCAGGCAATATCACCATTTCACAGTATTACACAAATACTATTATCAGCTACAATTACCCTCAAAGGAGGGAAAACAGAGGGTGTTTTAATGCAAGTGACTGTGACAATTAATTAGTTGAATTTCAGTGCTAGATTGACCTTGAAGAAAAAACCATTCTAAACATAAAAAAAAGAATGCAACTAAAGCATGTTAGTTGCCATCTTACATGAATAAAATTAAGTTCATGGGTGAACTTAAGATCCCCGACTTACCGGGTGAGAGACAGGTGATGTTGGCCAGCTAACCCTCAAAATGTCAACTCACGCCAAAAAAAGAAAAGTTAATGCCAACAACACATCTGAATCAAATTCGAATCCTTTGGCTCAAATGGAGATACTCTCCATCTCCACAAGGTCAAACCGATGTTAACAAGGGTTTTTGCCTTTTCTTTGTCCCACTGTCTGTGTGCAAAAGAACACAGCCTCTTCAGTTTGGCAGCCACGGTTTTGGACTATTAGCTGCTGAGAGTGACTTCATTGCTTACAGTTTGAAATGACTATTTGAGGTTTGAAAGAGAGGGTCATGGAGGTGGGCAGTATGGATGAGAGACATCAAGTCCTGTCCCATTTTAGCTTTATTTATCAAACAATGTGTAAAATCTTAGTTAATGCACCTTCAAGCCGAAACAAACTAGGAAAACATGCAGAGGACCCACAGCACCTGGACTGTATCAGTGTAGTTTAAGCCTGCTTGATGATTTATGAATGAACTGGTGAACTGAATTGATCCTGAATGTTGTAAATCCTGTGTCTCTACATTTGGCACAGCGCCTGATGTCAGGCTAAATGAATGCTGCAGAGCATAGCCTCCAAGCACTGCACATATGACACTCGCCAGAACAGATCAGATACTTATTAAATAACTGTCTACTGTGGCCTTCACTACTGTTCTTACCCTCTCTCCATTGCAGTTACTGGTTGCCCATAAACATTCGGCCACATATTGCACCGATATACACGGCTCTCCTGAAATTATATTTTTTGCAGGATCATTTTCAAGGTTTCAAGTATTTTCAAGGTGCATACAATATGAGCTGGGGGGCGGCTGGTTGTTGACCCGTTGATGCAGACTGCAGGCAAACAACCAGGCTGTGAGCCTGACATCTTTACTGATGACAGGAACAGTGCCACTCTTTGGAATATCCATTTCCAAGACGTCCCTCATTGGGTCACATAAGTTACAGTTTAAAGGTTTCTCTTTGAACCTGGTATTACTTCAAAGAGGATGGTTATGGTGATGCTGGTGTTTTTCACTCCTGCTTGCTTTCTTTCATGAAAGGAACAATTTTCCATTACATGGTTTTGGTATAATTTGAGACACAAAGTTCATATGAGATCATGAAAGTCAAAAAACAGGAGCTTCACCATGATCAGGCAGACTTGGTGCAGTGGGAAAAATATCAACTCTAAGAAGTTCCTCAGAGCTTTAAGGAGATGTACTTCCTTGTATACTGTATGAAATTGGTCAAAACTGTTATTTGTTTAAATAATATTTCCTTGATCTAAGCACCTTAAATTGACTTGTATCACCATATTAAAAACAATGCAGTTTATATTTCCACTTAAAAATAATAACATACATATTAAATAACCTTAGTTTAGTTGTTTTTTGAAGTATTACACTGTAATAAATAAATTGTACTGCTGAAAACAGAAAGAAAAGAAATATTCTATAGATCAATCAACACTGCTCAGTTGCACTCATGCACACATTAGATGTATGGCAATGCCTGAACAAAGTATATGATGGTGCACAATGCAAATAATCTGAATATTGTATCTAAAGACAAACTGCACAACTGTAGAGGCTGGTTTAAAGTAGTGGGTAACTGAGTCACAGGATGAAAAACTGTCTAAATTCTATTCATACAGTGCCTTGCGAAAGTATTTGGCCCCCTTGAACTTTGCGACCTTTTGCCACATTTCAGGCTTCAAACATAAAGATATAAAACTGTAATTTTTTTGTGAAGAATCAACAACAAGTGGGACACAATCATGAAGTGGAACGAAATTTATTGGATATTTCAAACTTTTTTAACAAATAAAAAACTGAAAAATTGGGCGTGCAAAATTATTCAGCCCCCTTAAGTTAATACTTTGTAGCGCCACCTTTTGCTGCGATTACAGCTGTAAGTCACTTGGGGTATGTCTCTATCAGTTTTGCACATCGAGAGACTGAAATTTTTGCCCATGCCTCCTTGCAAAACAGCTCGAGCTCAGTGAGGTTGGATGGAGAGCATTTGTGAACAGCAGTTTTCAGTTCTTTCCACAGATTCTCGAGTGGATTCAGGTCTGGACTTTGACTTGGCCATTCTAACACCTGGATATGTTTATTTGGGAACCATTCCATTGTAGATTTTGCTTTATGTTTTGGATCATTGTCTTGTTGGAAGACAAAGCTCCGTCCCAGTCTCAGGTCTTTTGCAGACTCCATCAGGTTTCCTTCCAGAATGGTCCTGTATTTGGCTCCATCCATCTTCCCATCAATTTTAACCACCTTCCCTGTCCCTGCTGAAGAAAAGCAGGCCCAAACCAGGATGCTGCCACCACCATGTTTGACAATGGGGATGGTGTGTTCAGGGTGATGAGCTGTGTTGCTTTTACGCCAAACATAACGTTTTGCATTGTTGCCAAAAAGTTCGATTTTGGTTTCATCTGACCAGAGCACCTTCTTCCACATGTTTGGTGTGTCTCCCAGGTGGCTTGTGGCAAACTTTAAACGACACTTTTTATGGATATCTTTAAGAAATGGCTTTCTTCTTGCCACTCTTCCATAAAGGCCAGATTTGTGCAGTATACGACTGATTGTTGTCCTATGGACAGAGTCTCCCACCTCAGCTGTAGATCTCTGCAGTTCATCCAGAGTGATCATGGGCCTCTTGGCTGCATCTCTGATCAGTCTTCTCCTTGTATGAGCTGAAAGTTTAGAGGGACGGCCAGGTCTTGGTAGATTTGCAGTGGTCTGATACTCCTTCCATTTCAATATTATCGCTTGCACAGTGCTCCTTGGGATGTTTAAAGCTTGGGAAATCTTTTTGTATCCAAATCCGGCTTTAAACTTCTCCACAACAGTATCTCGGACCTGCCTGGTGTGTTCCTTGTTCTTCATGATGCTCTCTGCGCTTTAAACAGACCTCTGAGACTATCACAGTGCAGGTGCATTTATACGGAGACTTGATTACACACAGGTGGATTCTATTTATCATCATTAGTCATTTAGGTCAACATTGGATCATTCAGAGATCCTCACTGAACTTCTGGAGAGAGTTTGCTGCACTGAAAGTAAAGGGGCTGAATAATTTTGCACGCCCAATTTTTCAGTTTTTTATTTGTTAAAAAAGTTTGAAATATCCAATAAATTTCGTTCCACTTCATGATTGTGTCCCACTTGTTGTTGATTCTTCACAAAAAATTACAGTTTTATATCTTTATGTTTGAAGCCTGAAATGTGGCAAAAGGTCACAAAGTTCAAGGGGGCCGAATACTTTCGCAAGGCACTGTATGTATATCACTACATCAAAACAACATAAGCACAACATCATTTTAAAACAGATTCAGTGGACTTCTGTGAATGGCGATAGTTCAAAAAAGGAACAACTGACCACACAGTACACTTTTGGCTGTGTTCTCTCTACATTCTCAGGCTATTTTTGAGTGTGTGGGAGCTGATGTAATGCAACACTGGCTCACCAAAAAGAAGCCAGATGTGTCTAGGAAACAAACCCTTATCACTGTGAGAACAGTTATCTTCTGCATGTCTGTGTGCTCTGTGCCCATTCAGCTTGTGATTTAGCACCTTCAGTGTCAAAAAGTCTACCACTAACATAGTCAAGTGAATGCTTTTGTGTTGCATGTGCTTTCCTGGGAAAATCATCTAGCACACTGTCTTCAGTTTGCTTGGAATTTTGTCTACTCAAACCCTAAATGTGCACTGCATAAAAATATCTATCCATCCATTATCAAGTACTTATCTGGGTGTGGGTCACAGGGACAGCAGGATTAGCAAGGTAGGCCACACATCCCTCTCCCCAACAAAGCTTTTCACCTCCTCCTGGAAGACCCTGAGGCATTCCCAGGCTAGATGAGATACAGTATATTACCCCTTCTGTGTATTCTGGGTCTGCCCAGGGGTCTCCTACCAGTTGAATGTGACTGGAAAACCTCTAACAGACAGCGCCCAGGAGGCATCCTGATAGGATGCTGGGACCACCTCAGCTGACTCGGCTCTACTCTGAGCTCCCTCCAAATGTGTGAACTCCGCATCCTATCTCTAAGGCAGAGTCAAGCCATCCTACAGAAGAAAGTCATTTTGGTTGCTTATATTTGCAATCTCAATCTCATTCTTTCAGTCACTACTCAAAGGTGAGAGTTGGAATGTAGAGTGATAAACTGAAAGCTCCCTCTTCACCACAGTGGTCTGGTACAAAACCTGCATTACTGCTGACACTGCAACAATCTGCCTGTCGGTCTCACACTCCATTTTACCCTGACTCGTGAACAAGACCCTTAGATACTTAAACATCTTTGCTTGGGGCATCAATTTGCTCCCAACCCATATTAAGCGATCCACTGTTTTCCTGCAGAGAACAAAGGCTTCAGAGTTGGAGATGCTGATTCTCATGTTTAGTACTTCACACTTGGCTGCAAATTGTCCCAGTGCATGCTGGAGGTCACAGTCTGATGCAGAACAGTAACTTGGGGAAAAATTTGGAGGACAATTTGATGTGTAAAGAAACAGAGTGCAAAAGTAAATGTTGCTGCATTTTTACCAGACATTGTGGTGCCAGGCTGCTGACAGCAACAGAAGCAGAAGCAGCAGAGCCCTCATTTGAACACACAGGAGAGATTCCCACACACATGCCCATAGTATCATTTCCAGTGCTCACATCAGATCTATGCATTCAAGCTACCAGGACACTAAGCAAACTAAAAGGAAGTGATAAGACATGCCTACATCTTAGAGATGCTGGCTCTAAGATACAAATGGCTGATGAAAAGCATACCTGGAAACCATGAGAATCACCTGTTTTGGTCCACAGTGAGTATTTTAAAATGAAAATTAACTGCACTAAGTGTTGACTGTGAGACCCTGTGATACAGTATTAAAGTTCCTGGAAAAACGTCAGCTATGATATGAGCTCTACGTACAGTTTGTTTCCTTTGAGGGCAGCGTGGTGCAGCAGGTTGAAGCCTCTATGGTTCTGGTGGGTGAAGTCAATGTTGGGCACCACAACCAGGATCTCGATGATACTGCGGAAATCTTTAGCAATAGCGTCATGGAGAGGTGTGTCCCCATATGAATCCTGTTTGCACGAGAAAAAAATAATGGACATGCAGCACAGTGAGAAAGGCTGTTGCATGCATTCAGATTGGTGCTGCAGGTTTTTATTTTTCTTATGACATGTGTTGATATGACAGCTTAATGCAAACTACAGTTAAAACTGTGTTATGTTGGCAGTTAAATTTCTTATATTAATAGAGTGGAGGGTGCAGTTTTATTTTCAAAACAGCATTAACCATTTGTACATTATCTGCTATAATACAAAGATGCTAATCTGTAAACATAACATGATTCAGTTCATTTAAAATGTGTTGTAATTCAGATTTTTTCTGATCAGAAGTTGGTCTTAATCAGTGTTCCTCTATTTAAAATGACAGACACAAACAAAGTATATGTGCTGCACACAAACACAAACAAACTGGGCCTTTGGCTGAGTAGCCACACAACTGAAGCAGGGAAAAACGAGTTAGTTAGTGAAAGCTGGTCCTGACTGCAGGCATGTTAGACAGAGACACTGAACTGCTTTAATGTGGCTAAGGGCTCAAGTCAAATACCCATAAGTGGATGAATTTGTGTGTGTAAAAACTATGTAGAAGTTTGTAAAGCCACTGCTACACTCTGTGCTATTAACTAGCACAGAACTGGTTTTCATTTGTTTTGTTTTTTTTGCCACAGCGCAGAATCAATCAAGACCAGCTGAGGCAGTTAAAATAAGATGCAAGGTTGAAAATGGACACTGGGTCAAGAATAATTCACACTGCTCTCTTGGAGTCTTTGTTAGGTGCTTAGTTTAATTAGAAACCACTGTGTAGAAATAGAGAGCACTAGCCCCTCTCACCTGGAGATTGACGTCAGCTGAATGTTCGGTCAGCACTTTCACAACGTCAGTGAAGCCCTTGTTGACGGCAATGTGGAGCGCTGTGCAAATGGAGTTGTTCAGGAGGTTCACATTTGCCCCCTTGCTCAACAGGAGTCGTGCGATCTCAGCCTGATTACTAAACCAAAAGGCACATGCAGATGAACCCTTAATGTCCTTATGCTGAGTGATTCAATCAGTGTAAACAATGTTTATTTTAAACCAGCATATAAAATCTCACACACTTATTCTGAAATCCTACTGGGAGGTACACAAAGCTCAAGGGTTTCTTGTGAATTTGCACAAATATCCTTTAATACTCTGGCATTTTTTTGCATGGTGTACCACTGCTTCAAGCCATCAGCAACACAAAGTTATTTTTAAGAAGCAAAAATAGAGATTTTGTCAAATGCTAACCTTCTGTTGATGTGTTAATGTGGTGAGAGGAGGAATGATGGCTGGCTGATTAGGCAACACTTTACTGCTGTCACTACTGTGAACAGATTATTACATTACAAGGAAAAAGACCTGCACAGTCAGGATGGTGTACATCTGCAGTTTCCCTTTCCCAGTACTCCATTTATCTGTCTATTTGACCATCATCAGCTGTTTCTAAAGTCACTGAGTGCGTGTATGTGTTTGTCCTCACCCGAACGCAGTATAGTGCAATGCTGTGTCTCCATCTTCATCTTTGACTTCGATGGAGCTATTGGCCTGGAGGAGGGCCTTCACCACCTCCATGTGGCCTTGGTGAGCAGCGACCTGCAGTGCAGTCTTGCCCTGATTCTTGATATCCACCTGCCAGGACCACAGACACAGTGGAAGATTCATTAGGGGCAACAGCGGCCTGGACGCTAACAGAGCTGAACATAGAGGGACTGGAAATAATCTAAGCATGAACAGCAGCTGGGTTTGTCATACACGTGATACATAATCCTAATAAGTAGTGTAATCATCAGCATGAAGAAAAAGAAATAGACATGGCTATCCTTGTCTTATCCAATATTAGACTATTCATCTTAAATTCCATATTTCCCTTTTCATTATATTTGTAAATATCAAATATTAAGAACTAATTGAGGGAAGTTGTTGATTTTTTTATGTGTATATTTTTGAATATGGGAGTTCCTCAAGTTCCCAAGATCTAGAAGAGTGACTACATATACAGTGCAATATCTGGTTCACTAAATCACCCTGGCCCTGAAATTCCCCACCCCCAGTCTTGGTATTTTGGTGGAAAGAAATCTTGGCATCGGACTGCAGCAAAGGCAAGGAGTGCTGCACTAACCTTATCAGGATACTTCTGTACCAACTCCCGCACTTTGTTGGCACTGCCGTGTGCTGCCTCAATAACCAGCCGGTTGGGATTGTCCTGCTCTGTGGATTGAGAAAGTAGCTTCTCCAGCACTGAGATGACACTACCTGAACACAGATGTAATCAGATGAAGAAAAGAGGGGGGAAAGGGAGAAGAAAACGGTTGTGAAAAGGGGGACAGAGAAGCTTAATCAGTCTCATGTGAACAACATGACTAGAAACATAGGACGAAAATAGTACCACAATGCCACACTGGTTAATGGGTGTGTCAAGGATGAATTCAAAGCAGAATGAGTCAAAATGTCCCTTCATGAAGTGTAATCTTACCACACACACAGAACACAAAATCACTCTGTTGTCAGCCTCCCATTTCCTGCCCTGAACACATGCACAGAATAGTCATGACAGAGACTGCTGAGACCTTCTGACAATATAACAAATGTCTGCCGTGCTGGCAAAGCCTCCTGATGACATGTAGGATGACATGCTACAGAGAAGAATGTTTAAGAAAGTGACACCCAGTCCACAAACTGCTGAAAAAAAAAAAAAACCAACAACAACAACAAGTGAGTGACTGTGACAATTTATGCCACAGTTGCAGCCTGTATGCGAAAGCATGCATGACAGAGACTGAGCTGGAATGAGAGCAGGGGAGCATGAACGATTGTAAGAGGAACAAAAGCTGAAGCATTAGAGATCCCCTTGCCCCAGCAAAGGCCTTACTTCCAGATTCGTTGGGGTTCTCAGCTGTCATGAGGTTGGCGTCCACGTCCACAGGCTGTGCCGAAAGGCACGCTGGGTTGAATGTCCACGTCTGACCTCCAAATGCCACCCGTAGGTCACCATCTGCATATACTTTTAGCACCTTCCCCACCTGGCCAAGCACCTAGGAAAAACCAGTAAGCAAAGTGAATGTGGCAACAGTCAGTAAAAAAGGGCTTAAAAGAACAAATAAAGAAATAGAATGGAAAAACTGATCAACCAGAAACTATTCATGAGTTTTAAACAACCAGGTTCTGTGCGTCTTTAAGGCTGCATTCAAGGAAGCAGCTGTAAACCTGACTATTTCCCGTACACCCAATTTTCTTGAAGTAGGTCACTCTCAATTCAGAGAGACGTCTGCCAAATAAAGGCAGAGAACACAGTTAACAAACTGCACACAAACAGGGATCAACCAAAGTACAGCAGAATACAGAGGTTGGTTAGTCTCAAGTCTTGGTCTAATCAAGACCACAAGTTCAAAACAAAGTGCTAAATTTAGTTGTTATAATTCAGTCATTACGTGTCTTTCACTTAATCTGCACTTTTCCCTCCTGCTCAGACAACATGATAGGCTGCTACTTGACAGATTTATAGCAAATCAGTCTGGGATATCAAATCCAGGTTATGTGACTCCAGTAAACCTTTGCCAGAACACAGCATTAACTGAGCATTCACAACTAAAGCTAAGATACCACAAAGCGTTTGTCTCATCAGGCTACCATTTATAATTAGGCTAATTGAGCATACAGGAGCCATGCTGTCTGTCCACTCTCCATGGCCAGCCTGGAGTTTCTTCACACTCTCCATGTCTTCCAGTACTCTTACTAGTTCACCAACTCCAAAAGTGTTCACCTGGGGGAAAGACAGATGAACAAGTTATTAAAAGGGTGGATAGACTATTAAAATCAAAACATACTGATAAACCACATAAGCTCTTGATAAACTGAAGTTCTGAACTGGGTAGGAACCTGCTGTAAGACCCTCTCATAAAAACTTAGTACCTTGGTGAGGGCCCCAGGATGGAAAGTCCAACGGATGTTGTTGCTGTACTGGACCCGCACATCTCCTCGATCAGTGATTCTATGAACAGTCCCAATCCGGCAAATGTACTGCAAACACAAAGAGGCTGTGATTTGATGCCCTGCTTCCTTTTTCCTCTGTTGCAGGCCAACATCCATCTGAGCCACATATATAAATATGCCAAGTTTCAAGAGATGTGTTTTTTTGTTTGTCAAAAACATAAAGACTACATACATACACAGATCAGCCATAACATTATGACCACCGACAGCTGAAGTGAATAGCATTGGCTATCTCGTTACAGTGGCACCTGTCAGTGTGTGGGGTACATTAGACAACAAGTGAACATTCAGTCCTCGAAGTTGGTGTGTTGGAAGCAGGAAAAACAGTCAAGCGTAAGGATCTGAGTGACTTGGACAAGGACCAGACTGTGATGGCTGACGACTGGGTCAGAATGTCTCCCAGACTGAGGATCTTGTTGGGTGTTCCTGGTCTGCAGTGGTTAGTACTGACCAACAGTGTCTAAGGAAGGACAAACACTGAACCAACAACAGGGTCACGGACGCCTGAGGTTCACTGATGATGAGGTCGACCAACTGTAGATTAAACCTTTAAGTTTCATTCATCCTTTTCAAAAGATTCCATTCTGTTTGAATCTTTGTTAAAGTGGCTGAAATGAGAAATACTGTGCACTGGTCTCTATGAAGAGAAACATTCAGAGGCTACAGTGGTGATATCACACCTAGAGTGGGGAGGCTGTTGGATTTATTTAATATCTCTAATTATCTCTAACTTGTCCTCATGATCACAGTTTTCACTGCTTTTTCACAAGCTTTTACTGAATGGTCGACACATTAGAGCTCTTCCTGACAGTAGAACTAAGGAAGCAAACAGATTCACAAAAGATGCACAGTGAGATGCAGAGTGACACGAGTGCCAATTGACTGCTGCACTGACTCCCTGTGTACACAGTATTAGGCAGGTGGTCATAATGTTAAGGCTGATCGGTGTATGTATCCAGTACAAAGAGTTCATGATTTGCTGGAAAAAAACAAGGGAAGTGCACTTTGTACTTCCTTATTATGGAAGAACTCAACTGGGAGTTGTTTAAAATTGTCCATTGTTTCTTGGAAAAAGATTTACCTCTGCCATTTTGGGGTTCCACCCTCCGTGGCCCTCCTGCATCTGACGCAGGATATCCACCTCAAGGAGACATTTGACCTTGTCGCCCTGCTGGAAGGAGTGGCCGTCAGCACTCTCCTGGCGCTGTAGCTCTGCATGCTCCCCTGGATAGATGTAGGTCAGCATCAACAAACTTGTATGGGTTTTTCAAAGCCAAAACCATATCACTGTAATGACTGAAAATGTCACACGCAAATTAAGCTAACTCTAAGTTCTTTAAGTAGCTCCTTAAAGATTTACAAACTGTCACTCACTAAGAGTTTGGTTAACTCTAGTATGTCACAGAAAAAATAATATATAGATTGGTGATAAGGCAGAGGGCAGACCTCCATTTATCACAGTGCAATGAGATAACAGATTTTTCTTCAGGGCCTATATCTGTAAAATGTACTTCTGTAATCTTATTCTCTTACACCGTGATCCACTGAACAACTGAGAAAAAAATGACTTAGTGCCAAAGGAATGCATACTTTAAAAAGAGGAACCCGTCTGTCTTACCAAGCTTTGGTAGGTGGTCTTTGTAATAGAAGCCTCCTTGACCATCAGACACATATTTGAGGTCTACCTTGCCCTTGTGTCCCATTCGGTAGACGTTGGTGGTGCCATTAGACCAGGCGACACTAGCCACGCTGCGACCAGACTCTGTGTCCCAGCCACGAATGTCCACTACCTTCCCAATCTTACCATCACCGCCTACACACATACATACATAAACACAGAGGCACACAAATATGCAAGAAACAATAATGTATCCGCTCCTTAAAGAAAAAAACATGGTTAGATAAGAGAGAGGACTTTGGTGTGAACAAGCAGTCATCCATAGTGAAAAGCTGATAAGCACTATATGCAAATATCAGAGTGAAATACACGCATATGAGACAAATGAGTGACAGGCACAAAGGTGTGTGAGAAACATTCTCCCTGTAGGGACAAACTGCCAAATGTCAAAATCATTCACTTCCATTTTCTAGAGGTAGCTCAGTTCTCCATGTTTTTGTTCCATGACTCAAACACCTGACAAACCACAATGTCCCTTCTTCAAATAACCAAATATCAAAAGAACTATTTAAGAGTTACTATTAAACAAATATATTTTTCCAAGCCACATTATTAGTGCACATTTGTTGTATCATACATCAGACTTTGTGACTAAACAAAACCTTTTTTAAGTCATTGAAGTAATCAAGCTGCCTTAGTGAATAACCACACCTAAACCGGTGGCTCCTAAGAATACAGTACACGGTGGACTGGAGGTTTCTGAGCATGCCCAGAGTGTCCTGTATACACTTACCACATACACAATTTAAGCCTGATGAGTGACTTAACCAAACCCCTGGGCACTGATTTCAAAGACACCAAAAGGACATTTTGACTCATTCGTTCTAACTCAAAAAAGGGAGCATTGCTATTCTCAGAGACAACGATGACCTCAGAGCAGGAAATACAAAGACACATTCACTCTTTGCCTGTAGGGAACATTCAAGGGTTTTAATATAGCCCACCAATGTGAAAGATTGTTTTAGTTACTATTTAAACTATCTCAAACATCAACCAGTGTGGGCTATCTGAAAGAGAGTACATTATTCAAAACAACAACATTGTAGACAAGTGGTTTACATGTAAAACTGTGGACATCCATGAAACCAACAATCACAATTCATAGCATGGAATGATCTCCATTCTCTGCTTTCACAACATTTACTGCATAGACTACAGTATACTGGAAATCGGTGGCCTCTCGGTTTTTCCCACTGCACAGGGCTGGAGAAAGAAAAGATAAGGAACATAAAGTGTACTGAACAAAGACATTATGAAGACACATACAGACAGGCACATCTGTGGCACTGACTCAGATGCATCACTGGCACTTAATGTGCACACAGACACTAAACATTTTGTGGGCTAATGAGACGAGAGGTTAGAATGTTATTATGGGCTGTGGATTTTAAAACACTTTGAACCGCCTCCATGATGGGAGGGATGCTGAGCTAGCAGCGCCAGGTTAGTGCAATGAATAGTCCCCCCCCACACACCACTCACCATCCTGGTTGCCCCAGTCCCAGTCAGGTCCACGAACCACTTTAACCCCCTGGAAGATTCCTTTGAGGATGATCCGTGGAAGGTTCTGCCTTGGTGCCAAGCTCACTCTGTGATAAGGGCATGGAAAAACACACATGGAACATAACAATGAAATCCAACAGTTTGAATAAGTATGCATATTATAACCCCAGCAACTAGAGATGTAACAATACCAAAATCTCACAGTACAATACTGCCATAGAAAAGTCTACAATAAGATATTTATCATAATATTTAAAAAATGGCATTAAAAAGATCAAAATAACCCTTTACTAAAAAAAAGAATTCAGCATTTTTTGTATAATGTATATACTGTAAAAAATTATGCAGAGATCAGCAGCAGTCCTTTTATGAGATAAAATAATATATTATTGCAGCAGCTGGATCTTCTAAATAAAACAAGTTGCACTCAGAATGGAACATCAGTGTCACAGTACTTCTCTGCAGGTGGTTGGGTTCTCAGTAGGCTATAAGACCCGATGAAGTGGGTATGCAGAAACCCAACCACCAGGGGCAGTATTGAGCATACTGAGGGGAAGAAGACATCAAACTAGCATAAGCCACATAAAAGTGAGATTTGTACTTTACTGGAGGTGTTTTTCAAACATCGTCCTCTACTTTTTCAAAAGAAAAGACTTAAAGGGTGGTTACTAAGTGGCTGGTTTTCTGCATGTTGCATAGTTTGTCTGCCCAATTCTGTTAAAGTATTGCACAGCCTCGTCCTGACCGTTTCTGAGAGACATATCCAGGACTGTCTCAGTCCTAAATAGGGCTAAGTATTGCCATCATCCGGCAATATTTGGAAATAGTTCAGCATTTGTAGTTTCATTTTTGCAGTCATTTTTACTGGAGGTGTTTTTCAAACATCGTCCTCTACTTTTTCAAAAGAAAAGACTTAAAGGGTGGTTACTAAGTGGCTGGTTTTCTGCATGTTGCATAGTTTGTCTGCCCAATTCTGTTAAAGTATTGCACAGCCTCGTCCTGACCGTTTCTGAGAGACATATCCAGGACTGTCTCAGTCCTAAATAGGGCTAAGTATTGCCATCATCCGGCAATATTTGGAAATAGTTCAGCATTTGTAGTTTCATTTTTGCAGTCATTTTTGAAATAGGAAAACTGAAATGCTGCCACACAACAGCTGTAAAAGTCGATGATGCAGCATCCACTGTGTCAGTTTCAAATTCTGCGACCAGTACGCAGTTATACTAATGAAATAACCATGGATACCATCATAGTCCCACAACATTATCAAGACATTTTTCTATTGCGATATCACAAAATTACAAATATTGTTACATCCCTGCCAACAACACATTTCCTGCATTGATTACAGGCTAAACCTGGTATGGTAAGTGATACAAGAAATGTCAAATGTGGATGTAAGGTTTAAACATTTGTCAGCTCTGTTATTGATCAATAATCTATGAATCATTACAACCATATGAAACAATTTTGCTTATGAATGATACATCAAATCAACAAAATGCTGCTGCCACACATACTGGCAAAAAAAATATTAATAGTGTGCAACTTACAGGCTTTCCTGATGGAAAAAATATAATGAGATTTAACACGCAGGACACTTAGAATAAAGTCTAACCCATTTTATATCAAAGAAAATCCCTACTGTATGTCGAGATGAGAATAAAACAAGCTGTCCTGACCACTGACCTATGAAGTTTTCACATATACAAGCTGCATTTTGTTTACATTTTAACATTTATCATTAAAGCACATTTTGGATATCATAATATGATGAATATATTTCATCTATATATAACAATTTTCAAGGCCTTTTTTAGAATGCTTTGAAACATGAATGGCTTACATCAGTCTTTTTCTCTTATTAGCACAGTGCTCATATCATCCCAGAACCATGATGTATACATGTGTGACTGTGTTTGCTGGTAGGACATGACATACTGGGATCTGCTCATATTGATCCAGGTTATTCGCAGTAAACCCCAAGCAGGCACAATCAAACAATTACTAAAATCCATGTTAATATCTACTCTCATATCTAACCATCAGTATTGCTGTGACTCTGCTTCCCAGCTCTTCCACTGAGCAGATTACGTCTCATTTACTGAATGATGCCTATTCTGTGGTAGTTCTTCAACAAATGGTCAAGCAATAAGTCCAACACCCTACTTGAGAAAAGGTCTTTCTTGTGATAGGGTTTCAGGACTGTAAACAGATCAACTCAAAAAGCACACTTCTATGCACAGTCAACATCAGTGTCCACAGATACTAGAGCACATTGACCAAAAACCTCTAATGCAATCACAGATTCAGACACTCAGATAAGGCAGGCATACCTTATTGTAAAGATCTGATCAGATCTTGGGGCAAAAGAGCTGCCTATTCCCATACTTTCTTGACAAGATCAAACTTCAGCTTCCATTTCAACCAAACAACTTTGTTGCATAAAGTCAAAAGCATATGAAGACACATAAAATCCAGCGTAATCAAAAGAAAAAAGCCCTGTGAGAGCTGTCATCCTCAGGGAGCCTAACAGAGGCTTGCTGCCCCCACATGTGTCTCTAGCATTGGAGTTTTACTTAAAACTAGCTTTGACTAACTTCATTCCCTGCCACGGCCTAGACCTTTCAGGTTCCTGGGTGCGGTGGCAGGAAACAGTTGTACATGTGTCTTTCAGAGCCAACTAACAGTAAACCTCAGTGTGGAGCTGAGAACAGGGCATAGTCTAATCCCTGGACAGCAGTGCTATCTGAAAACAGGCCACCTCAGGGCACGTGTGTGTGTGTGCACATATTTATTTGAGCTACAACAAAAAAAAATCTGTACACTGGGTACACTGCTATAATGCATTAAATTGCTGGTGTGTTTTAGTGGAATTTCAAGGGATTAAGGATGTGACACAATTGTGATAAGTCTAAGTAAAACAGAGCTAGTTAAAGTAAGAGACTTCCTGAACTCGTAGTATTAAGGGTCATGGAAAGAATGTAGCAAGCTGTGCTCATTTCCTGACAGTACAAAGAAGATTTAGCTCAGTCTTGAGGGATTAAAATTTTACCAAGAGAAGTGTTTACAACAGGACAGCTAGTTCACTAAGAGACTATTCCTAAAACCTGGCCGAAAAAATACTTCAAGATCAGGTGAAATCTGACAGATATCCTTATTTCATGACTTCAGTGTCTGACATATCAGTGTAGCTACTCTGAGCAGCTCTTTCAAGAGCTCAAGATTTGTAATCCTTCTCGACCAAATGTCGTACCCTGCTCCCAGACAGGATCAGAAGACCTGCACTGACTGACACAACAGCCAGGTCAATAGTCAGCCAAGGGTTAGATTTACTCTTTGAGATAAACACAGCAGAATATATTGCATAACCATTTGTTTACAGAAACCAAGATGACCCTGGTTTAAAGGTTTGAATTTACCTCATGTAATGTACCCGAGGTAACTTTGCAACTGTGAAAACACTAATCCAGACCAGACCAGATTAGACAAAATCTAAGTGGACACGTCTAAAAAAAATACATATAAATGCACAATGGTATCAACTTCCCCTTTACTCACACCTACAGTACAAAAGCCCAGAACCCTTGTTCAAATATATTTCAGAAGGCAACACTTTTGTCATGGGACTAGAAATGAGAAATAAGAGCAAAATAGATGCAAGAGAAATGAGACAAGAAATGAGTGGAAAGATTCCCGTTTGTACCCTAGAGCTAAATTTAGGAAATGTTTCCAGTATGACAACAGAGAATGCACTGGACAACTCTGCAGGGCAGTTGTTTGGATGTGTCTTAAAAGTGACTACAGAGTGGAGAATTGAAGAGTTCAGACGGAGCAATGTAATGTGATTCACAAAGGAGGGATTATGCATTGACTGTAGCTGATAGGTTCCCTGGAACTGCATGTGTATTGTTTGTGTGTTGATGAGCCGATTAACCAACAATCTTCTCATTAACATATGGTACACACATATGCCGCCCTGAGCTCTGTCAACGTGTGCACACATGCCTCAGTGTACCATCAACGTGTGCACACATGCCTCAGTGTACTATTTAACATACAAGTCTTAACAAAACAGGTCACTAAAGCCATTTTAAAAAACTGAACAAAGTAAACAACCATCTACAATAAAGCTTCACAGCATTTGGATTGAGATACATAAGAACAATAGTTTAATGAAAGTCATATTCTGAAGATTCAAATAATAAAAAATGCCATCAATCAGTGCTGAAGAAACACACGAGTGTAAATCTGGAACACTGGTACATCAGGCTCTGCGAACAGTTTTTATAAGCCACACCTTGATTTGCTTTGTATCCAACAACTCTTATCTTATACATGAGTTCTAAGTTGAAAACGTTAACATGCTAATCTGTACGGCTGAGAATGTTAGCATCCATTTAATTCAGTTGTAATTACAATGTGTGCATAGTCCATCCAGCTCAGTCTCGCACCATGTTTGTGATGGTACTTTGAGTGTTTTATCACTGCAGTAGTTTAGTGTTGACAACTTCCCATCATCCCCTCACTCTTCGTCCCCACTTATAAGGTTTCTGCCTACAGTACGGGTACAAAGAGATCTCAGCTGTTAAAATTGCTATCAAACTATCATCATGTTTGGTCCACATGGAAGAATCCCTTTTAATTATACTAAGCCCAAGCCCAGTCTCCTCATGTAAATCACTGCTAGAACAACACTAATAATGAAACCAAGTTAATTCTGCTTTTCTAGGCAAATATCAGTGTGCCCCTGACTAGATTATAAATTAGTCTTTTTAAATGCTGTCAGTGAAATATGGGTCATTGTGGACTAGAAATTAAAAAAGTACTGTGTTTGGCAACACTGCTCTTCTATTCCATTGATGTGACATGAAAATAAGTGACTTTCATGTGTTTTCCCAGACGTACACTCTTGCTACATGACAATCACAACTCCACATTCAATGAGAATATGCAAAAATGACTTTGATAAAAGGGTGAAGAGAGAAAGACTGAATGCTATAAATGAATCATTGTGTTAATACGTTGAGCAACAAACTGTGGATTGTTAGGCATGTTGTGATATTCCACAGTAGAATGATCAAATAAATCTGTTAATCTACTGTTAATTATAAGAAATCAATATATGTTAACATATCCAAAAAACATCTGACTGAATTTTTCTTCATTTCAATATATTTAAAATTGACTTGTCAGCGAGCTAGTATCGGTGCAAGGTCCACAGATGGAAAGTAGTGGCCTGTCTGACCTCTGAAGAGTCACATTACGGTGTTTGCACCACCAAAAACACCACCTTATTGACAGACCCTGCTGAGCCAAACAATGTTTGGGCCTCAATGACAAATCAATACTTCTGAAGAGAAACTGAAATGGGAGGTAAAATGAGATTCCAGTTACTAATGTCATAATGAGCACAGCACCATCTTGTCTCATTGGCTGAGTCTCATTTATTCTGATGCTCCATTTCCACCCCATCTGTCACAATCCACATGGTCCACAATAAATTGTGGACCCAAGCTAATTCTAAAATAAGACTTCAATAAAGACGTTTTTGTATTTAATAAGAATGGGATCACAGAAAATGACAGCAGGAAGTTAAATGAAAAAGATGCAATGCTCGGGTTAACACTTGAAGCTAGGGAGTGATAAGTCATATGCTGCACTTCTGCATAATTAAACTGTTTCAATAACACAACATAACTGTGAATCTGCTGAGCTACACACACACACCTATTTGTAGCCTGTACTGGACAGGAAAATAAAGAGCTTTGTGTTGGACCTGGACCAGGATAAACTATAGAAGAATTCTGGGTCATACATATCACCTTGTAAAAATGAGAATGGGCCATCCAGCCCGAGACATTCAGACAGTGCCTAAAGCAGCTTGGAGCTTTACTGTGAACTGATGCAGAAGAGTGGATTCTGAAGGGAGAACTCACCCAAGTAAATCTGGATACATAGCACACTTGAATCAACTGAACATTTATTCACAGCAAGGCCAAGGCGTGCTTTTGACTATGCTGAATAATACATAGAAACAACAGCTTTTTGACTATAAGTGTCCTTGCAAACTTGATAAAAAATTTCAGCTCACTGTAATCAATAATAATTTAATTGTGCTTGTGGCTAATGTACATAAAGATAAAGAGGTTGTTACAACATCCTGCAGATTGTTTGCAGTATTTTAGCTTTAATAACCATCATTGCACATATCTTAGGAGCCACTTGTGTAATATCAAACATTATTTACAATTTACGTACACTGCTTAAAGCTATAGCTGATGAAGATGCATTACTTTCATTTTTCTGTTGGACGATTATGACTGACACAGATGAAGTAGATCCTAATGTACAGTAAGAACACTGGCTGGTGGTTGGAAGTTTAATTTTGGAAAGAAACATGCAGAAATAAACAGAAAGCCAAAGTAAAGTCAATAAAGCATTGATTTGTGAAATATCAGTGTGAAAAGGTCAGTTTAACAGAATAATGACAATTAAATGGAGGATGCAATATTAGCTGAGTGGGACTTTAATTGAGCAAGTCAGTGGAACTGAGACACAACCATAACTAGAACTTAAATGAGGATCGGTGGTGCTGAGGATGTGGCGGTGCAGTACTCACGGCTGAGAGTGTGCCGTCTCGTAGCGCTCGAAAGCGTGGCTCAGGTCATGCTTGTTGCTCATGTAACACTGGGTGCACAGGTCATAATCAAAGCACACCTTGCACTTCCAGCGCATTCCCATGATGCCATGCTTCTTGCAGCTGTCACAAATGATGTTGGAGTGGCGCACGCCTGGAGTGGAAGGAGAGGGGGTGGTCATAAATGTAATATTATTCTATTTCTGCCGCAAAGAAATACATTTTTGTTAAGAACTTGTCATCTCCTGTATACCAAGTACTATGCTACTATGTATTTCCCAAATACAAGTCACTGAAGCAGACAAGGCCTGTGCCACATTCTTGCCAATGTTACTCATCACAATGGCTAATATCATGAGGTGCAGAAGAACTGAGCCACAAACAGCATGACACAACACCCCCAACCCCTCAGCTCCACATCACTTCTCCTCCTCTTCTTTCACTCCATTAACTGAAGGGCCAGCTTCTGAGGCAGAAAAAAGTTGCTTTAAATGGAGCAAAATGCTAATGAGTCCTGCATTAATGCATGTGTCATTCAAATCCAAAATAGAGCTGGGTGCCCGATGATGATGAGAGATGGTCTTTACTGTAGCATGCTTACTAAATATGGGCTTTGTGAAGGCTGCCTGAGTCACAGTGACAAACAGGCACAAATATGCAAGATAAAAACTTGGAAACAGCTGATGGCAAAGCGGATTAGGAGACCTTTGAGGTTTAAGAGGTGGCGTTCTCAAGAGTTAACAGCATACTGTACCTTTTGGGTCAGGGGTCTATGGAAAGGTTTAGAAAGAATGCAATTTGGCTTGAAAAACATCCATTTTGACTTCCATTAGGATTTTTTCAAATCCAGCATTTTATTGAGCAATTACAGAAGGAAAACAAATATATATATCTACTGTAAATAGTATTCAGCTAAGTCTTCATAGAGCCATACCTCCTGAATGCAAACCATGAGACTACCTAAAAGGTTTTTACAGGGGTCTACAGCAAACAAAATACAACTCCTTGTATTTAAAACAAAAATGAGAAAGGGAGGTTAAACTAAATATACTGAAGAAGGAATGGGAGAAAGTCAGCGAGGGCCCTCTGAGGCAAACAACTATTATATATCCTGGTCTTGGTCAATATTAAGTAAGTTCTAGCTGGAGGTTCATAAAGCTGTGCAAAAAGTCCTCCAGGTCAACATCCCATTAAAAGTGGAGACCCTGTATTTCGAAGCCCTGTCTTCAGAAAATGTTATCTGTCAGGTCAGATGCCTATTATTTCAGATTCTCAGTGCTGGTGGCGGAACACTAAACCCAGAAATACCTACAATTGATGACTAGCTTGACATTATGTGTGATACCTATACAACAGAAAGAATTTTGTTTTTTCTGTTAGCATGATTCTGAAAATACAGGAAAGTTGGATCTTGTACAATATATGTACAGCCATCATTTGTTTCTGAGTTCCTTGGTATGCTCAGATAAACACAGTCCTAACTGACCCAGTGTTTCAGTATGACTTCAATCTCTCTTACCAATTTGAGCGTTATCATAAAGCAGCAGGTCGTAGGCACCCTGGTAACCAGTGCGGTAGTTGGTCCGTGTACCACTGTCCCACTGCACCACCACCGTCTTGTCTGGCGTGGTAGTACTGCCCTGCCGCCCGATCTCCACCACAGTGCCCACGTGGCCCTCACCATCATCCTGGTTTCCCCATTTCCAGTCCAGGCCGCGCACCACGCGCATGCCCACCTCCATGCTGCCTCTTTTGGGGCCTGGCCTGGGGGCTGAGCGCAACGGGCGGGGCCTGGCAGCGCTGTCAGTTCGGCTGCTGCTGTGCCTCTGGTTCCTCTGAAGGGCAGAGCCGGCTTGCACTGGAAATACTGGGGGCAGCAACGGCACCAGGGGTGTTTCCAGGAGCAGATCAGGGGTGACTGGAGGTAGGAGAAGATGAAAGTTCAATGAAAAGTGAGGCAAGCACAGCAGCAAAGTACAGTAGCATCCTACAAGTACAAGTTGCCTAGAGTTCATGTAAAAGATTCTGAAAATGTTGCCTTTTTAGCAAGGAAATCACACAACATGTGTGCTGTTGGACTACCTGTCTGAAAGTGGCTGCTGAGGGACTCAAAGAAACACACCATATGTCCCAATAATTTCTAAGCCGTATTTTTCTCTTTGCTGGTGGATCACTGAATGGACGCCTTGCTGTGTGTCATGGCACACTTCTGGAAAGAGCAGCTGGACAGGGCTGATGCGGCGTATGTCGAACTAATCAAGCCCTGACATGACACACAAGCACACACATACACACTTGTGCTGACATCCTTGGCAGGACGGTAGATTGGCTTCATTCATGCCCTAAATCTCAATCATAGCACACGACTACTTCACCAACCCTAAACTAGCAATCATCAGGTGCAAGTTGTGAGCATGTAAGGCGAGTATGCCAATGCAAACAAAACAACAAACCTATTTATACTTAATGTACAGTAAGTGTGTGATTGTAAACATCTGAAATGGTAGCCATTTACAGCAGCACTGTAACATTATAATTCTAACACTAAGCTGTAAACCTAGGACTGAAATATTACAGCAAAGATATAAAAATGCCAAAATCTCATTTTAAGGACAGTTGTACAAGAACTCTCACATTCACACCCGTGACTGATGATGAATGCCACTGGGAGGGAGAAACAAATACAGGGAGGAAGTAGCATTTCTGTAGCAGCATGAGTCAGCAATGTAGAAAGGAAATTTTGCTGCGGATCATGACCATCAACAGACATCCATTCGCAAACAGCAATCACATCTGACACATCAGAAATATTATTCTATACACAGGCACGGTGTTTCTCCTCCACCACTACAATTATTGAGAAGATTTAAAACTACACCAAGCAATACTTGCAGTGCTGTTTCTCTAATCATACAGAAAAAAAAAATTATTGCCAACAATTAACTATAGCTTTTAAGTAACAGTCCACAAAATGCATGTTGTGATTGTGTGCCTGTGTTTATGCTTCTTTTCTAGGATTGTGTTAAGACAAAAAGTAAAGTTTACTTGCGATATCTGACACATACGGAAGGCAAACGATGATAAATAATCTTTCCAGTGTTGTTAAACTAGGCTAATGCACAGTACCTCAAGGAAGCAGAGCACACCTCTTAATTGTTGTCACTCTTCAATGTAAAGACAGTGAAACGCTCACAAGTCCTGCTTTGTATTAGCACACCATATGAACAACACTACCCCGCAGGCTTTGTGTTGGGGGGAAAACACCAGTGCTTACCCGAAATCAAGTGCCACGTTTGTCAAGAGTCATGCATGTGACTATATTCCTTAGACGATGGTGGCGATAATCCATCATTTCTCTGTTTAAGACAACCATTAATCTAAATGTGAGGGAGAATTCAGAGGCTTAAGTCTTTTCTGTGCACTGAGAAAATGTGGTAAATGATGATCTGTAAAGGCTGGTGTAGACAGGAAACTTTCAGCAAAAATATACAGTATATACATCATTAATCTCGTGATTTATTTGGTCATTTATACCCATTATTCTTTTTAGTATATATCTTGACAGTTTGGCCAGAGATCACTTTAAAATCACTTTCAGAAACAGGGAGGACTGATGTCTTTAATGTGAAATTACTCTTGCATGCTTATCACGATTACAATGTCATTTTGGGTATTAAAGGCGTCTCCTTAAGCATGAAAGCATAAGGGATGAAGGGGATCAAAGGAGGGAAAGCAGGCTGCTTATATTCCATTTTCTGTCCAAAATGACAGCTTAGCCTTTCATATGCACTGGAATAATACCTCAGCCAATCATCTAACATTTCAAAGTGCAAACAGAGCAGCTGTCACAGGCAGTGCACGGCTTTCACACAGCTCCCAGCATTCTGGATGTGGATGGATGCAGGAAATGCCTAGTTGATCTAAGAATAACTGAGAATACAATCATGATGAATCAAGACACTAAAAAGACACACTGCAAAGCAGGCCCACACTCTAGTATTCTGGGTTGAGGTACTGTTCTACAGACACAGAGCAAAATAACATACCACCTACATTTAAAATTGTTCCGCTACCCACATCCTCCCCGCAAACACCCACCCACCCTGCTGCCCCCTCTTTGTATGTTCCAGAGAGAATTCAGCCTGAGAACACCGATATCTTATCATTAATAAATAAACCAGGGCTTGTACTGCCAAGTTGACACAACAAGGGATCTCTCTACACAAAAAGCCCCTATCCCACATTCTCCAGGACATTTCTTACAGTGAGCTTTATCTTCTGCCTCTGTAATAACATCATTTACATATGCACACTACAGAAAAAGGGTGAATACACAGTTCAAGCTGTAACTGGCAAGAATATGTGGTAGAAATTCTTAAATCCCAGGGCACCTTGATTTTTGGTGCTGAAAGGTGGTCACTGCCAGAAAATCTTCTCCACACAGAAGGTGTGAAGAACCTTCTGCAGCTTAAACAGCTGTGAGCAATCAGTATTTCTCAAGTTACTTCTCTGCTTATATTTTGGACCAAAAAATGTACAAAGGAGAGCAGCTTCACTAGTTCTGATAATCACAGCTCCATACATTTTAAGTAAGGGACAAGCATTCCAAACGTTTTCAAGAAAACTGTGTAGAAGATCAGAAGCAATGCGAAAAATAAAAAAATGCAGATGTAAAGACAACTCAGTGTGTTCTAGACTGACAAATGTCCATACAAATGCACTTCTGGTCTGAACAGTGTTCGTTTCTATTTCAATTTTTGTATTTATACTTGTATGTTTACTTCTGCATGTCAATATCCTGTGTGCAACGTTTTAACAGGTAAAGACTTGCAGCTTTATAAGGCGGAGCTATTAATATTTTGTTGTATGAAATTTTAGAAGGAAAATTTTAGGATTAAATCTGCCAAAGTTAAAATTTACCACCAGCTTTGCTAAGAGTTAAAATTGTACATGACATATATTCATACATTTACAATAAAAAGTAAAAATTCCCGAAAATTCAAATTAAATGAACATTCAACAAATAAATATAAATAAAATAAAACACTAACAAACAAACATAAATAAATAAAATGTCCAATAAATTCAAGTATCGCCACATTTTGACAGTGCAGCCTAAAATCTATTTCGACCCTATGGGTGCTACTGCAGCATGAACTCTGTTCCTCCGGTCACTGGCTGGCCATCAGACATTCCTGTGACTTTTTTTCTGTGACGGGGGACTGAAGGCAGCCATGACCCGGCCACCCGTGTTGCTGAAATGTCACTGCAGCCGAGGGCTAAGAGAGACAGGATTCCAGCTCTCTGCCTGCAGTAACAGATGGGCTGGCTTCCATCATACACACTGCTGAGGGCCAGTCTGCGAGGGCAATGTCAACTCCTTCACACAAACAACCAGGCGTTTGGCCATAACACAAATACACACACCACCGCATGCAAAAATTGCTCAGCAATGTAATTTCAGCTTAAAACCCTTTTAAGTTACTACACTTGACTTTTTAAACATCAATATAAATGTTACAATGTAACTGCAAAATCTTTTTAAATTTTTGTTTTAAAAAAGTAGAAATGATGAAGAAAGAAAATATTTCAAAATTAAAATTGTGAATGAATGGTTTTCAAAACTGGGTATGAATAAGGACTGAGTCTGCAGTAACTCAATGCGATTTTGTCATTTTTCCAATATGAATGTATTGCATATTAAACACACAGCTGTAGGGTCTGTATAGTCAGGACACACATTGGCTACTGTAGAACTCTACCACCTGTGCGTACTCTACAGCTATTTAAATCTTTGTGCCATAAAGCACATCAGAACATGTCCTCTAAAACGTGACTAAGGGGCACACACTGTAAAATGTAGTGGAGTGCTGGAAGACTAGACAATGTCAAATGCAGTGCTGCAACGGGATATGGATCCCACAGGTCCCACATGCTCGGAATCACCGTGGAAGCCAGAGAAAGTGATGGTGCACAGGTAGCAGCGAAGCCTACACGTGAGAAACACAGTTCATCACATAACTCTGTAGCTCTGTGACACTATGGTTGGTTTGAAGTGATTAAACAAAGTAATGGTACACATGTAGCTGCTCCAGCTAGGCCAGAACATGACAAATGATCTAAAGGCACTGAGGGTTTCACCAGGCAGATACAGCATATCTGCAGTTCTTAGTCACTCAACAGCTTCAAACTGGAAAATACTGTAAGTCAGGAGTATTATTATTGGCAGACCCAGCAATGTCAGATACATGCTACTGTGTGGAGGAGTAAACACCTACATGGGCTGTATGTCCTGTGGCACCTGGTCTGACCTGGTCACTCTGACTTCTAATAAGAACAGAATAGAAACATCTGGTGAGCAGGGAGCATTCAGGGAAATCAAAAGGGACCCTGAGTGAATCACACATTTACAAAGATTTCTTCAGAGTGGGCGACAAGCTTTAAAATAAGACTGCATTTCAGACTTCTAGCTAGCCTACATACATTTTCTCAAATCTCACTCACACAGCCACTGTGAACTTGTGGAAAAGAATTCATAATAATCACAGAGAATTAAGTAGCTACTGAAACAAATCCACAATGCACTACACAGTCACCTTCAACAATTTCTTTGTCAGCTTTGTCTGCTTGTATGTGTGCTGTCTTTACACATTTTAGCGTTCTGGGAAGTACACGGCATCCTTACAAAGCTCAATGGCCACACAATAAGTTTAAAGAGCTATTTAATACCAGCAGAACTGTTCCTATCGGCAAACTTTTTCCCTGGAGCTTTTTACAACAACTCGACAACAGCAAACCATGTTCCCCAAGGACACTTACTGTACTGTACATTTAGTAGCACTGTGCTGAGATTATCGTATCAAATTATCATGAAGCACTTACTCCTGATGATCTTCAGCCCACTTTTATACATGCTGGCAGCTGAATGATTCCAGCTTGTCATGACACCACAAGGCTGCACTGCTATTATCCCAGGTCATCCAGCAGATCAAAGTAGAAATCCTTAACACTATCAAGCAGCCGTCCTACCAATGGGTGAGTGAACAGTTTGCTGTGAACTTTGATATTTGTTTGGGAACATGCAGTTTGTTAGTTTTTTTTTTTTTGTCCTTCTGCCTGAATGAT